TGACATGTGAGCACGTCTTTCATACTAGTTGTGATCATAGAAAGAAACAATATATCAAGCATATTATATCAACATATACATAGTATACACACGATCATCAAATTTGAACATAATATTTCATGGCATAAATAAATTCATGTCCAACATAATGAATTGATAAAAATTCTATAGCACGTAATCAATGCATGTCCATGCAATAACACAATTCTAAGGAATTAGTATGGCTTATGCAAATAATAATATGTATAATAATATTCCTCTTACTAAGTAACTCATACTTAATATACGAGACAAGTCTGTTAATAAGATCACGTACTCACATATTCGAAAATCAATCAACCGGACAGTTCCACATCAAATGAAAATTGGGAGAAAGTTAATCCCATATCAAACCATAAGCAATTTATGCAAATAAATATTCATTTTCATAAGAAATGTCATGTAGTATAGCACATATCATGATGTTTATAATACACTTATTCAAGTAATTAACATATATGCTATCACTTTATTGCATTTAGGATAAAAATATTTCTATTATTAGTGTACATACACAAACATAATGAATATTCATTAAGCATATATATATATATATATATATGCTTCCACATAGAAATTAAACTATCATGCAATAATCCACCATTATATCATATAGCATTATCAATATATTTCACAAATAGATATCTTATAATTAAAAAACGTACCCGATGAATTATATGTTCGTCAATTCAAGATTTTGTGGGTAGCACCAAATCGTGTCAATATTATGGCAGTGCTGAATGATTTATTCATATCTCTTCCGTCCCAAGTCCGATTTTGTTGATTCAATATGATCCGAACAGCCAACAAATTTTTCTACAACTTTTATCTTTTACGTTTTCTGAGATTTGGACTGGATCATGATCAAAATAAGCCTCGAAGTCGGAATAGGTGTGCTGTAAATTTGCACCTACAATGGAACCAGAAAAAAATATTAAATAATATTCATGAATCAAAAATAATATAAAACCTCATTATTGATCTTCGATTCAGTCTTCTTTCACCAAAATTTCGTGCATTGGACATTGGTGATGCGTTAATATGCGACGAGTTGCATTGGTCACGAACGGTTGTAATTTCTTATGAAAAGGTGCATCGGCAGTTCTGCCACCCTTTAGTATTTTCGTCATAACTTCTTCGTACGATCTCCGATTGTGACGATTTAATATGTTCTGGAAAGCTAACTTGATTATCTACAACTTTTGTGAAATGTTAATTTGCCATATTCGGACTTTAAAACCTTCGAAAATGGGCAGGAACGTGGACTTCATGTTCTGTCCGAAAATGAACTTTCTCCAATTGTATTTTGTAACTTCTTGATTTTTGGCAGACTATCTTCTTCTCCATCTCGTTTACCAACGTGTGCAGAAAACACAATTTACTAAATCATAAAATTTCGTCTTAAGATTGTTGGTCCCGATACATAAAACGGGTAGTGAATTTAGTAAATTGGTTGAACAAATTAATTAGTGAAAATACGAAAAGATTAGCCGAGGCGAGTTGACTCTGTCCTTAAGACGAAATTTCCCCGCAACGGTGCTAACGGATTAAATGGAAATCGTCTCCCAAGATACAACGGCTAAACTTGGAATAGGAGCACTCCAAATCCCAAGTACGACGAACTGTACTTTGTGTAGAACTTTTCGAGAGAATCTGTGAAGGGTAGGCTTAATATGTAGTAGGCTTGTTTTGGATTGAAGTGAGGAATTTTGGGAAAGTTATGGTCTATTTATAAGGTTCGAAAAGTAGTGTCCTTTGGAGCAAAAATGTACCTTTTATTTGAATGGTTGCACCATTTCGAGTTGAGCCAATTGGGAGTGGTTGCACCATTTCGAGTTGAGCCGAATGGTTTGCATTGGTTCGGCCGCACCAATTCAGACCAGTCAGACCAATCGAGATGGGCTTCGAGTAATAAGGGCCCAATGGATTAAAAGCCCATGACCTAATGTTTTTTGCCCATCCCAATATTTTGATATATATACAGCTCAGTACTTCTCTACTTTTCCAATGTGGGATAACTCAAATCCCACTTTCCTTATATTTTGGACTAGTAATTTTTTCATTCACCACAAAATTGGTTCTAATCCAAAATTCATTTATATACTCAATTAGACCGTACAATAACCTTGATAAAAAATTGTTCATGACTTAATTTTTAACCAATTTTCCCAACAATCGAAGGCTGTGGGACATCTTCAATTTGAGGGGGTTTGAGTGGCCCCAACGGCAACAACTCATGTTATCTCATCTCTTTGTTTCAACGATGACACATTCATCTTCACCCGGGCAGCCGAGGATAATGCGCATATATGTACGGTAGAGTATCTTTGCCCAAGAGATGAACTGGACAACTCGACTATGATGTTTATAGTCCAGCAACACGTACATCAGACAAACAATAGATTCACCAAATTCTTGATTTCAAGGTAGTTGATCTCCATGAAAAATATATGGGAATGTCAACTACAATGGGAGGAGTCGGAAGGAGATTGTTGGCAATCATAGAGACAGATTATAGAATTAAAGGATGGGGAGAGAAACAATTATCCAAAGTGGGGAAAGAGGTCTTAATTAAAATTGGTCTTGGTTAAGTCGGAGAAGAGTTTGTGAAGAAGATGAAAGATTGTGAGTTGTGAAGGAGAAGATTGGCTTGTGGGGTTGTGAAAAAGAAGATGAAGTTTGTGAATTGTGAAGGAGGAGATGGGCATGTACATGGGTTTGTTGGTTTTTTAGTTTGAGTTTTCCGCGGTCTTGTATTTCATTAAGGGGTAAAATGGTATTTTCATGTGGGTGGTCTTATACTTAGTAAAAACTGGTATTGCAAATAGCCGTCATTAACGAAAAATATGATGGACTATGGGTGGAGATCGGATCGGATATGACCCCTTCGGAAAATTTCCAATTTTTTTTTGGAATTTTTCGAAATTAATTGGTTTTTTTTTTTTGAATATTTTGGAATATTTCAGAATTTTTTGGAAGAAAACCCTAAAAATTTGGAAGCATCTTCCAATAAACACAACACCAAAATCACAAGAATCGAGACCCCTAAATTGCACAAAAAAACAAGATATGAGTTTCAAAAAATCGAAGCAAGATTACTGAGGAAAAATCTCCAATATATTAAATCGAGATTGTTTAGATCTTGTGGTTGATTGAACGAAATAAGAATGTTTAGATTTTCTGGTTGATCGAAAGAAACCAGAAATACCGTACGAGATTTGCAGCGAAGAAGAATAATGGATTGAGCAGAGAGCCCGTCGCTTCTCAAAAATGAAAATAATAAAAAGAAAAGTGCACGAGAGACGGCTTCGCAGGTAGAGCGGCTGGGCGTTGAAGGGAAAAGGAAAATTTGAGCGATGGCGCAAGAAAGAGAAAATAAATGGAAGGGTTTTTGTATTGCCCCTCTTCTTTTGTTGGTTTATAGACATGACCACAATTCGATTCAGTTCCGGTTCTGGTTCCAAGCAGCCGGTTCCAGCTCCGGTTTTGGAGGAACCGAAACCTAACCAAATATTTCCGATTCCTTGAGGTTCAGTTCTTTACGGTTCCCGGTTAGAACCGATAGAACCGACCGGTTCTGACTTTATTATTATTTTTTTATATATATATATAACTTAAAGAAAAAAATAATCTAAAAAAACAGTGGAAATAATACTTCAAAGACTTAAAAAAATTAATTTTTATTTTAAATACTTAAAAAAAATTAGTTTTAAAAAATTTGAAGGAATTAATTTTAGTTTTAAAAATTAAAAAAGGAAAAGGAAATAAATTAAAAAGGACTTGCATTTAATTTTTAAATTTTAAAGTTTAGAGTTTAACTTTAAATAATTAATTTTTTTTTGTATATGTAACTTAAAAATATACTTAAAAATAGTTAATTTAGAAAGGAAATAACTGAGGAAAGAATACTTCAAAGACTTAAAAAAATATTAAAAATTTTTTTGGAAGTACTTCAAAAAAATATTTTTTACTTTTTAAAAATTTGAAGGAATTAGTTTTAGTTTTAAAAATTAAAAATGGAAAAGGAAAGAAATTGAAAGGGCTTGCACTTAATTTTTAAATTTTAAAGTTTCAAGTTAAAGTTTAAATAATTTTTTTTATATATATAACTTAAAAATATACTTAAAAATACTTTAAAATAGTTAATTTATAAAAGAAAAAAAAAACAGTGGAAAGTACTTCAAAGACTTAAAAAAAAATTAAAGTTTTTTTTTAAAATACTTTATTACTTTTAAAAAAATTGAAGGTATTAGTTTTAGTTTTAAAAATTCAAAAAAGAAAAGAAAAGAAATTGAAATGGCTTGCAGTTAATTTTTAAAATTTAAATTTTAAAGCTAAACTTTAAATAATTTAATTTAAAAAAAAAGTTTGAACGGCTAGAATCGTAGTTCTGACCGTCGGTTCTCGGTTCCAAAAATGGGGAACCGGAACCAAACCGATTTTCTCGGTTTTGGTTCCGGTTCGGCTCTAAAACCGTTGACCCCGATTCGGTTCCGGTTCCGATTCCAACCGAACCGATAGTCATGTCTAGATTCTGAGGTAAATGTAGTTAAGAAAAGGTATGTAGTTAAGAAACGGTAAGCTCAATAAAAAAAAATTATACTGGCCTAAGTAGGTATGTATTCAATATGCATAACATAATTTTTAAATATATAAGAAAATCGGAATTGTTCGGAATATATTCGAATCAGAGGTCGGAACTTCCGAAGATTTATATCAAATTCCAATTTCGATCCGATTTTTTTTTTTTCCAGAAAATTCGGAAATCGGATTACAAAAGTTTGTCCCAACATCAATATACTTGAATCGGAATCGGCGAAAATCGAAAATTTCGTTCCAATTTCCGCCCATCCCGACCATCATATTGAAAAAGTTCAAATAAAAAATTAAAGTAGGGCCCCAAGATAATATAAATAGAAATAAAAATAATAATAATACGACAGTATTATTAGTACATTTATTTGAAGGGCCAGAGAAAATTGTTGAAGAAAAGAGGAACGGTTCCATGGCAGCATTTCCCGGCTAAATAAGAGGCATTATTACCCACTCATTTATTCCTCTCTCTCTCACACACACACCCACTTCTTCGCTACTACCCACGCACGACAAATTTCTCCTCTTCGATTCACCATTTGTTTCTTCCTGTGTTTGTTTCTCTCTCTAGATCTCGATCCCCCATTTTCTCCCCTCCCCCTTACATACATATGCCTTCCTTTAACGATTAGGGTTTGATTTTTCCGCTGATTCTCTCCGTATGCCTGCCGGAGTTGAAACGGGGTTGAAAAACGCTGTTGATATTTATTTTTGATTCCTGATTTTTTGCAAGGTGTGAATACGTACGTGTGAATTGTCAATTGCGGATTTGTATCAGGTCTTCAAGGGAAGATCTGAGTAACAGAGGTAGAGAGAGAAAGAGAAGACGTTAGAGAGAGAGAGAGTGGAGGTTACAGGCGGCGATTTTTGCGAGGAAAAAAAAAACAATTAAAAAAAAAAAGGAGAGATAAATTTCCAATTTGTGAAGAATGAGCGCGTCGAGATTCATAAAGTGCGTTACAGTAGGCGATGGCGCTGTGGGCAAAACCTGCCTATTGATTTCCTATACCAGTAATACCTTTCCCACGGTTAGTTTGCCTCTTCCCCCATTGCCATTGTTTTTCTTGTTCCTAATTTTAATGCTGATATATCATGTATTTGTTTTTTGGGTGGTTGCATTTTTAAAGTAATTTTGCATCATTTTAATCTTGAAGAAAATGGTGAAACGGTTGCATTTCCCTTTCTCGACGTTCCTGGATCTACATTAGGATGATTTGTTTGTCAGGTTAGGTTATCGAGGCCAAAGGAAAAAAAAATGTATCGAAAGAAAATAGAGAATGATTAATAGAATCTTCGTGTAATTGTAGATTCATTTTTACGATTAATTTGAAAACCAGCACATTTTGAAATTAAAGACCAATTGGATTTGCTGAATGTTTCTGCTGATGGATGAGATAAAAGGAACGATATGTTTGTCTAAATATATTTTTTTTAATCTACAAATCCGGAATTGTTAGTTCATTGGAAAATTTTATTTCATGATCTTGGATTATTTAATTAATTTGAAGTGCATCTATTTTCAATTTAATTAAATCCACTATGTAGGGACCACATATCTGCTTGAAGCTTGGTCTAAATCATTTGATGCATTTGTTTTTACCTGTGTTTTTGTATTAAAAGAATGCTCGTTCATTGGCAATTAGCGTGTGAGGTTGTCTCACTAAGGGAAGGCTTTTTTATTTTTATTTTTTTAAATTCTGAATGGAAGTTTTATCTATCTCGAATTGGGACAGAGATCTTTAGTGCTTCGTTAGTGATATTCTGCTTCTCGTGTCACTAACATATTTATTATCTATTAACATTTTTTCTCTATATTTTTAAATGAACAGGATTATGTGCCTACTGTATTTGATAATTTCAGTGCGAATGTGGTCGTAAATGGAGCCACTGTTAACCTTGGCCTGTGGGATACTGCTGGTAATTACCTTAAATATCCTTCATGACGACACCTCGTGCAGTCATTTTTTCATTATATATATATATATATAAATATACTTCTGTTTTGTTATACCTATAAAACCTCCACTTTTTTCGATTTTATGGAACAGGACAGGAGGACTACAACAGATTAAGACCACTGAGTTATCGTGGGGCCGATGTTTTCATTTTGGCATTTTCTCTCATTAGCAAAGCCAGCTATGAAAATGTTTCCAAGAAAGTACGTCCCAACTCCTCTTGATAATTTCATTTGATTCCGTTAACTTCCAAACTGAAATTATTTGGGTACCATTTTGTTTTTGCAGTGGATTCCCGAGCTGAAGCATTATGCACCTGGTGTTCCAATAGTCCTTGTTGGCACAAAACTCGGTGAGATCTCTGATTATTCTTTATTTAAAGTGCCGTGACGCAGCTTCTTCGCTCAACATATTCTTTTTGAATCTCATTTCGATTTGAATACTTCACATTGGATTCTCTATCGAAGGATGGAGATACCATTCCCTTCCTCTAGAAGTCTCCACACTGCAATTTTCAGACAAGTGTTTGCTGTTTAGTGAAGGGTTCGGCTTTATATTATGTGCTATTTATATGTTATAAGTTGCAAGTCATCTCCAATATAAATGATTCAGTTGAAGTATGTAGAAGTTGTTTGGCATTAGCGTTACTGTTAGATTTTTCGCGTTTACGTTTTCTCATGTGGAGTTGTGACTTGTCCAGTCGTGGTACAGACCTACTAGAATGTTGCTTCTTCTGTGGCCTTTATAATATTTAGGGTAAATTACGTCTACACCCCTGAGGTACGCAAAAATAACTTTAAGATCCCTATGGTATCAGTGATTACAATCACCTCCCTGAAACATTGTTAGAAACCCTAACGGAATAATACATTGGGTAAGTTATTCCATTAGGGTTCTAACGGACTATTTGTTTCAGGCAGTGGTGCAGACAACATAGAGCGGGGAGGTGACATGGCACATATAACATTTCTTAAATGCTTATGATTGAAGGGTGTGGCTGTAATTACAAATACTGCAGCGACCTTAAAGTTATTTTAACATACCTTAGGGGTGTAGGTGTAATTTACCCTAATATTTATTGTAGAAAGTGAAAATTGTTGAAATATGTTAAAAATAATTGTTTTGTATATGTTGAGTGATTTAGATCTGCGGGATGACAAGCAGTTCTTCGTTGACCATCCGGGTGCTGTACCAATCACTACAGCACAGGTAACATATATTTGTTTCTATTACAGTTTGGCCTATTATATTTGTTTCTATTACGATTTGTTTATTCAGTCACTGCTTTAAAAATTGCAGGGTGAGGAGCTGAAAAAGTTGATTGGATCTCCAGCTTACATTGAATGTAGTTCAAAAACACAAGAGGTTCGTTCGTTCGTTCCTATGAAACTAACTAACTAACTATATTATTGTTATTACATACGAGTTTGTTTGTTGATATGTTTTTGTAAAAAAAAAAAAACAGAATGTGAAAGGAGTGTTTGATGCTGCCATTAAAGTTGTGCTCCAACCACCAAAGGAAAAGAAAAAAAAGGGCAAGGGACAAAAAGCTTGCTCTATATTGTGATCAACCAGCCCTCCCCTCCGTCGCTCTGTAGATGTAATGATTTATATAAATATATATATGTATCGTCCGTCCACTTTTTTAATGCGTCCCCGAGTGTTAAAAATCAACACTTGAGGCCACTTTTTTTTGTGCTTAACGTTGTTTTGAATTGTTTTTTTTTTCTTTTCTTTTTAATTATTTTTTTGTTCATTTAATCAGACAGATTAAGAGATTTTTATGATGTTGGTTAATGCTGAGGGTTATCTTATTTTCTTCTATTCTGTTATGAATCCACATTATATTGTTGTAATTATTCATTTTGCTGCTACAACAGTATGGTCTCTTATTTTGTAAGATAAGTTATAATTAACTACGTAATTAGGTCTTATATTTCATGGAGCTAGCAAGGGAGTTAAACTTTACATGTTAAAAAAGGGGCAATTTGCTATAAGTTAATTGTACAATTTATGACAAAAATATCCTTAAACTCCTACAAATATTTCTATCAAATCAAATTTACATATCCCTCTCTCCGCATTTAAAAGAAAAAAGAGAGAAAAACCCACCACCTCGTCTCCGGCTTGGTTAAATGCAAACAACAAATCCGCTAAATGCAAACAACAAATCTGAATTATTTAATTGCTAACAATAAACCAGTTGCACATCACGCATATTCCGAAACTAACAGCAAAATAAGAACAATATGCTCTTCATATGCAAAAAAATGCAATTTGCAGTTTGCGAAATATCTAGTATTATAAATTACAATTTGCAGTTTATAATTTAATGTTGCAGATTTTGATTTTTTGTATTATTTTTGTTGAAGCAAAACCAATTACGAAATACAAAGAAAAATGATAAATCAAGTAATCAACTACAACTAAATATTGAGTGAGAAATATATATTGGGACGAGAGAGACATGTGAGAGAGAGAGAGGCGTGTGTGTGAGAAAGAGAGAAAGACACATGTGATTGAATATTGATCTATACATATATTCATCTAACATAATTATCCGGTGAAAAAAATATGTTATAATGTATTCCAACGACCAAATTTGATTGTGGCTATGATCAGTGGCGAGCCCAAGAATTTGTTACATGGTGGGCTTAAAATTTCGGGGGTTCGGGAGCAGCTCCCAAATTTTTTTGAAGGATTTTTTGGTGACAAAATCAGAAAATAGGAAAAGAAAAAAAAGGAACAGTAAAAAACATTAGAGCTTTTTTTGCTTATAATTTGAAATTTGAGTGGGCTAATTAATAAAAATTGGTGTTTTTCTTACATTAATTTGTATCTTGGGTGGGCTAATTAATAAAAGTTAGGTGGGTTAAATATATATATATATATATATATATATATATATATATATATATATATATATATATATATATATATATATATATATATATATAACATAGGGTTAATATTATAAATTGAGGGAGGGCTTGAGTCCACCCTTGCCCAAGCGTGGATTCGCCCTTGGCTATGATATAAAATGGTATATCGTTAGTATTATATAGAGAACATTGTAATTTTGGTCCTGTATGTTGTTCTCTATAGGGATTTGGTTTTATAATTAGTTATCTTACTTCAACTTTACATGCAACAATTATGCAAAATTAGTATTTTTAGTCCTATTTTACTCGAACTTTAAATTTTAGCCGTTGTTTATTAATGTACCTAACAAACTCGCAGAAAATTATTTACATGGACACTTAAAATCTAAAAATGCTCCTCTAATTTGGTTTATAGATGTCTCATCTCACATAATTAAAGCTCTACCAATGGTAAAATTAGATGTCGAATTTATCGATTTCCAAGCGTCAATATAAGTAAAATGCGTCAAGTTTATTTAACGCGTCATAAAATTAAAAATCATGCAAAATAAGACTAAAAACACTATATTTGCAAAGTTATTGCATGTAAAACTAAAACATGACAAGTTAGAGGACTACATTCCTAAATAGGCCAACATAGAGGACCAAAAATATAAATTTTCCAATTATATAAATGGGTGGGTAGCCTAACTATCACGCGACGTGCTTACTATTTATGTATGTACGTACCACTACTTCTTGTTGTTGACATAAAGAAATAAATGGAATAATAATAATTATTATTATTATTTACAAAAAAAATGAAGAAGAAGATTCCTTTTTATTTTAGGTATTAATGGAGTTCCACTCGTTTTTGTTGAAAATTGAGTCAAGCGTCCTACCTCCCCACAAGTTTTCTTCTACTATCAAGAATCATTCACCACTTACACATGACTTTGAACTTGGACCATACGTGTGTCTTCGTCTTCTTTCCTTTTCAATTATTTTATTTATTTATAATTTATTATTGTTTCTTGCTACTTGATGCTATATTCGGTAAAATACATTAGGTGATTATTAACTGTTGATCTGCCATAATCACATTTACACTCACATATATGTGTACTTGTATGAAATTATTTCACCTCATCAATGGTTTACCAATACCCGGTATATCTCACCAGATATAGCATCTGCACTGCAAGGGCATCAAAATTCAAAAACATATTATGGAATAAAATCCCCAAATTAAATAATCCATTTATTCCATCCAGCTACTAATATATATATATATGACAAATTACGGTCACTCTCTGAGGTATGACCAAATTACGAAAAAATTCTCTTATTTGGGTAATTACAGCCACTCCCCTCCTTTTAAACATTTTTACTAAAAAAATATGTAATTCGAACGGTATGGAATGTTGGCGTACCGAAATTTCGGTTTGGTTTGACCGATTTAACATCCCTAAATTTACCTCTTGAGGGGTATTTTTGTAGGATAATATATATTTGAGAGGAGTGACTGTAATTACCCAAACAAGAGAGTAGTTTTCGTAATTTAAGCATAACTCAGGGATGACCGTAATTTGCCCCATATATATGATTTATTTATTTATTAAAAAATATTATCCTTATGGAATGTAGTATTTCATAAAGACAATATTGACCTTATTGGGGGGTGGATGGGATTGATGCTGTTGAAAAGCAAGTAAAAAGAGAGTATTATTTATCTCAAGGTCAAACAAATAAATAAATGGTCCACTTAACTTTTGTATCATGGAATTTGTACCATCAAACAATTTCTCCTCCATCTTCTATATAAACCATTATAGCACTTGCTCTCATATTTATATACATATCCATTGCTATTTAATTTCCTATATATATATATATATATATATATATATATATTTACAAAATTAAATTTCTGATAAATTAGTGTTTGTTTAAAGAAAAAATGGCGTCCAGAAGAATTCTCAAGGAGCTTAGAGAATTGCAAAGAGACCCCCCTACTTCATGCAGCGCAGGTACTTTTTATTATATTATTAATATTTTGTTTTGAAAAAAAACTATTATTTATTTAATTATGGATTATAAAAATAATAAATAGGAAAGAAATAAAATTAATTATAAATAAATAAATAAATAAATAAATGTTGTGAGTAGGTCCTGTGGCTCAAGACATGTTCCACTGGCAAGCAACAATAATAGGACCAAATGAAAGCCCATATGCTGGTGGTGTTTTCCAAGTTACCATCCATTTCCCTCCTGATTATCCTTTCAAACCTCCCAAGGTACTTAATTAATTTCTACTGCATTTTATTCTCTATTTTTTTTAGATTAAGTTACGAGCGGATCAGTCGATATTTAATATAAATTGGATTCCACTATTTTTTTGACAAGTGGCACACTCTTAAGTCTTAACTCTTAATAAATCACGCTGATTATAATTAGGGTTATATGGGTTACGGGTTATGCTGATGTTTTCTTTTTCATTTTTTTTTTCCAGTTATTAGAATTGTAATTATATTTTTATTTAAACTATCCACATGTCAATCATCCTATGACATCCGATTTTCCTATTAAAACATGTCATCCGGTCTAAATTTGCACTTTTTTGTACCCAAAGAGATTCGAACATCTGACCTCTCACCAAATTTTTTGATACCACTATTTAGGTTAGGACCGGCCCAGGGCCGGTGCAAAAGGGGCAATTGCCGAAATCGTCTTATTAAAGAGATTTTGTTTCGATTTTGAATTATGAAAGATTTTATTAAACGGCCCTTTATAATCTCTTTTGGCCAAAAAAGAGAAGGAAAAAAAAAACGAATATTCGAAATTTAGGCAATTGACAAATTCAGTTTTAACTTTCAAATATTTCAAACAATCTATTTTCTTCGGTTAATAAAATCAATCATCAGTTTCAAATTGTTTTTTACATTGAACTAATTATTATATACTTCTTGCTTTATTAAATTAAAATTCAAACATTTTTAAAATTTTATAGCTAAATATTTGTATGTTTGATTTTATTTTACATATATACATCTTCAAGAAAAAGTTCTGAGCCGTTGCCCTTACCCCCGTATAAATAATATGGCTAACCAAACATCAAACTAAACTTTAGTATTTAGTTAATTTTGGCCAATCTTGGCAACCAAACGGGCCGGGGCCGGAGCCTACAAAATATTAATATATCTATTCTTTTATTAAAATATGTTTTTTTTAATAATTGAAGTAATTTAATAATGAAATATTAATATTAATAATGATATGATGCAGGTAGCTTTCAGGACCAAAGTATTTCATCCTAACATAAACAATAATGGCAACATATGCTTGGATATTCTTAAGGATCAATGGAGTCCAGCTCTCACCATTTCCAAGGTATTAATTCTTTTTGTTTTTATTTTTATTTAATATATATATTTTTATATTTATTTATTGAAATAATGAAAATATCTTTATAACCACGGTCCTTCGGCATTGTTTTGTTGTCGAGATAGAATTCACCAAGATATGATTATACAATTTATAAAAGCTCAGTTATTGTGTAATTTACAATTTTATAATAAATCAAGATAAGAGTTCATCCTCCACAACTTTTTGGTATGTCTAAATTAAATAAATCTCAATTATTTAATAAAGAATAACTTATTTTAACGATGAAGCGAAGCCTTAGAAAACAATTAATATTGTTTAGATCAAAATCTATTGCATATAAATTAGAAGATTCAGGATTCTTGACTAAGCTTATAAACAGTTAAAAAAAAATTATAAGATGTTCAAGAGATAATAGCTCTTTCAAAATATTTGATAATTTTTTTAAAACAAAATCTTAAAAATTCAAATGAAGCTATTGGAAGTCAAAATTGATTTTTTTTTTTTTTTTTTTATTAAATACATCAACCCACAATTACCTTTTTATTTAAGATTTTATAAGATCATTATCCAAACACTTTAAAAAGTAATTTTAATAATAAAACGCAACTATTTATCATCTCTTAAAATAGTTTATCATAAGTAAAAGCTTATGAACTGTTTAAAATAAATTTAGTCAAACGAGTCAGATTAGTACAAGTATATGTATAAGTTGATGGTAATAATTGACGATAAGATATTGGATGGTTGCAGGTTCTTCTTTCGATATGTTCGTTGCTAACCGACCCAAACCCAGACGACCCTTTGGTACCTGAGATAGCACACATGTACAAAACTGACACTTCCAAATACGAATCAATGGCTCGTAGCTGGACTCAAAAGTATGCTATGTGCTGATCATCGATATATCACTATTTTCAATTTAATTTCCTAACTTTCCAGGATTTTTATGTATTTAATAATAGCAACCACATACGTACTTGTGTTGAGTGCTGCTCATATTTTCCTTAATTGTTCAAACTTGTTTTCGTTTCACTTCATGAATCGAATATCCATATAATATCATCAAAATACTGGCAATTATACTATGTATGTATATGCTTGTTGGTGGCTTTACTTGTGTCATTCTTTAGACATGTTCAACGGTTGAATCCATATAATAATACGGGGTTTTAATGAATAAGTCTCTCATGCAACCATTTTTATTATTTTAGGTTCAGGGATCAATAAGTTCATTTCTTTAATATTCATTATAAATAAAGGTAAAATTAATGTATATCATAAGATTACCTCCAATCATTTAAATCCAATTCTTAATTGTAATCCCAATTTAATTTCAACATAATAAATTTTAACTATAAAGATTCAATTTTGATTTTTTCTTTTTTTGAACTTTTTTTTTTCTGATTTTTCTTGCCGCCGGTTTCAAACGTTGACATTTTTTTCTTGTTTTTCTGCCGTCGGGTTTCCGGCGTTGACCGCCGCTGATCTTCGACATTGACTTTTTAATTTTAATTTTCTTATTTTTAACTTTTTTCCCCTATAAATTTTATTCATTTTTTTAAGACCACCGCTGAACGTTGACCGTAATTGTACTGTCATTAATTGTAATTATACTATCGCTGACAGTAGTTGGACTATCGTTGATAGTACATTTACATAATTGCACTATCAACCGATAGTACAATTACTATCAACCACAACAATTTTTAGTTTTTTGGTTTTTTTTCTTATTTTGTTTGATTTGTTGACAAGTCAACGTAATTATATTACTGTCGTTGAAGGTAGAATTACTGTAATCCAATAATATTACTATCAACCACATCAATATTTTTTAGCCTTTTTGTTTTGTTTAATTTGTTGATCGATTAACGTAATAATGTTACTATCTACTATTGTAATATTACTATAAACACAATAATATTATTGTGGTTACGTTGACGGTAATATTACTGTGGATGCCAGTAATTGTTGGGAATCAGACACCTGTACGCAGCGGAAAATAAAAATTTTATGCGATTTAAACAAATTTAAAACACATAACACATGCCCGATAATTGAAATCAATTAATTGCGTACCTTTGCGCTTCCAGCGAAATTAAAAATACCATACATGCTTAATTACTTAACCGAAATTAAATCAATTAGCATGCTCGCGTTTAAATCAAATAATCATGCTCGCAATAATATAATCAATTTCATGTAGTCACATAAAATCATACAATCATATTACTAAAACGAACATGCATATATTAATTTAAACATAAACGAATCGAATGACAATAGATTCGAAACATTACCTCTTGAAGCGTGAGGTAGGCGCACTAAGCAAAGCTAGATTGCCACGGAAACCAATCCGTGCAATCCGGGGCAACAACGACGAAGCAGCAGCGGCAATAATATGAGCTACGACGGCGCGTGTGATTCACGGGCTGTCTTCGGGCGGCGCGTGCGTCGTCGATTCGGGGCTCCTCCTCGATTCTTCGATGTTTCGATTCTTCGATCTTCCTCCTCTCGGATTTCACCTCGAATACTTCGATCTACTAAATACGTGGCACTAGACACGTAATAGTTAGAAAACCGGAAGAATAGAAAGAAAGAAAGAATTACCAAAGGGATCGGCCAAGGGGTGGCCGATTCCGGCGAGTTGGCGGCAGCGACGGCGGTGGTGGCCGCGGGAGAAGATGGCCGAGAGAGAGAGAGAGAGTGGAGCGGCTAGGGTTTCGTTCGTGGGTTGTGTTGTTATCTTATGTGTAAGACCTATAAATCAAGTATTTATAGTGTCTTGCATAAAACCCTAACGGGCTTAAGTTGGACCGGGCCCAACAACTTAAGTTCGTTAGTTTTTTTACTTGCTCGTCTCTCTCAATTCGATGATCGGAAAACTGTAACAATTACATTTCCGGAATCATTATAATGTCCTCGTCATTACGAGTGCCAACTCTCGATTTCCAACTTTCCAAAAGTGGAAACCCTAATTCAGTGCACTTTCTAAATTTGGAAACTTCCCGATTTAGAATATTGGGACATGAATACGCATCAACAAACATGCACAAAAACACTCGCTCAAAAAGACATGCAAAAATTACAAGTACAAAAGCATGCGCAAGAGTACTTGCAAAAGTGCAGTTGTTAAACCACTCATGAAAACACGAACTACAATACTAAGACATGAATACGCATCAACAAACATGCACAAAAACACTCGCACAAAAAGGCATGCACAAAAGTGTAAGTACAAAACCATGCACAAAAGTACTCGTGTAAAAGAGCATTCGCAAAAACGATTATAAAAACACGAACTACAATACTAGAGAACGTATACATATCAACAAACATGCACATAAAGGTATGCAGAAAAATAAATGTATGTAAAACCGTACACAAATTACTCACACAAAATTGCATGCAAAAAAACTCTCATGAAAAGACGAACTACCATGCTAGGACATGAATACGTATCAATAAACCTGCACAAAAATGCTCATGAAAACACGAACTACAATATTGGGACATGAATATGCATCAACAAACATGCACAAAAACACTCGCAGAAGAAGGCATGAACAAAAGTACTCGTGCAAAATTGCATGCACAAAAAAGCTCATGAAAACACGAACTTCAAGACTAGGGCATGTATACGCATCAACAGACATGAATAAAAAGACAAGACATGAAGAATGTCACACGCACAAAACCATGCACAAAAGTACTCGCACAAAAGTGCATGCGCAAAGAACGCTTATAAAAAGACGAACTACAGTACTTGAACATGGATACGCATCAACAAACATGCACAAAAAAACACTCGCTCAAAAGACATGCACAAAAGAACAAGTAAACATGCAGAAAAGTACTAACACAAAAGTGCATTCGCAAAAACACTCATGAAAGCATTAGGACATGAATACGGATCAACAACATGCAGAAAAACAAGCGCTCAAAAAGACATGCACAAAAGTACAAGTACAAAATCATGCACAAAAGTACACACGCAAAAGTGCATTGTCAAAAACGCTAATGAATACATGAACTATAATACTAGAGAATGTATAAATCATTTACAAACATGCACAAAACACATCCAGAAAAATACACGTACAAAACCATGCACATAATTACTCACACTAAACTACGTGTACATAAACGATAATGAAAATACAAACTACCATACTAGGACATGAATACGTATCAATAAACATGCATAAAACCTCTCACACAAAAATACAAGTACATAAAAATCCACAACACTATTCGCGCAAAGGTGCAATTGCAAAAGCACTCATGAAAACTCAAACTGCAATACTAGGACATGAATACGCATCAAAAAACAATCCCAAAACACACGCTCAAGAAGACCTGCACAAAAGTACATGTATAGAAGCATGCACAAAAGTGCTCGCACAAAAGTGCATTTGCTAAAACTTCATCAAAACACGAACTAGAATACTAAGACATGAATACGCATCAACAAACGTGCACAAGAACACTCGCGCAAAAGTACATTCGCAAAAACGCTTATGAAAACCCGAACTACAATACTAGGGAACATATTCGCATTAACAAACATGCACAAAAAGATATGCAAAAAGTATACGTACAAAACCATGCACAAAATTACTCGCACAAAAGTGCATGCGCAAAAATGCTCATGAAAAGACGAACTGCAATACTAGGACATGAAAACGTAACAATAAACGTGCACAAAAACTCTCGCACCAAAAGTCATGCACAAAAATAAACGTGCAAACCCAATTCAGAAAACTTCTCGCGCAAAGGTGCATGTGCAAAAATGCTCGTGAAACCACGAACTACAATAGTAGCACATGAATACGCATCCATAAACGTTCGCATAAACACTGGCTAAAAAGACATGCACATAAGTCAGAGTACAAAAGCATGGACAAAAGTACTTGTGCAAAAGTGCATTTGCAAAAACTCTAATGAAACATGAAATACAATACTACCACATGAATACGCATCAACAAACATGCACAAAATCAGTCGCACAAAAAGGTATGCATAAAAGTAAAAGTACAAACCATGCACAAAAGTACCCGCTTAAAAGTGCATTCGCAAAAACGTTCATTAAAACACGAACTACAATACTATGGAACGTATACGCACCAACAAAAATGCACAAAAGGATGTGCAGAAAAATACACGTACAAAACCATGCACACAAGTACTCGCACAAAATTGCATGCGCAAAAATGCATGAAGAGAAGAACTACAATGCTAGGACATGAAAATGTATCAATAAACGTGCACAAAAACTCTCGCACAAAAATACACATAACTACTCGCGCAAAGATGCATTTGCAAAAATGCTTGTGAAAAAACAAACTGCAATACTAGCACATGAATAAGCATCAACAAACATGAACGCTAAAAATGACATGCACAAAAGTATAAGTACAAAAGAATACACAAAAGTATCCGCGCAAAAGTGCATTTGCAAAAGCACTCACGAAAACACGAACTACAATACTAAGACATGAATATGCATCAACACACATGCACAAAAATACTCGCACTAAAAGGCATTCACAAAAGTACAAGTACAAAGCCATGCACAATAGTACTCGCACGAAAGTGCATTCGCAAAAACACTCATAAAAACATGAACTACAATACTGGACATGTACATGCTTCAACATACATGCACAAAAACACTCGCTCAAATAGACATGCACAAAGATACAAGTACAAAAGCATGCACAAAAGTACTCGTGCAAAAGTGCATTTGGAAAAATGCTGATGAAAAAAACAAATACAATCTTGGGACATGAATACTTATAAAAAGAACATGCATAAAAACACTCGCACGGAAAGGCTTGAACAAAAGTACATGTACAAATCCATGCACAAAAATTCAGGATCGGTGCCCCTGAACCCCGAAAAATTTAACCTACGGCTACATGTACTATTTTCAAACACTGGCTAAAAAGACATGCACATAAGTCAGAGTACAAAAGCATGGACAAAAGTACTTGTGCAAAAGTGCATTTGCAAAAACTCTCATGAAACATGAAATACAATACTACCACATGAATACGCATCAACAAACATGCACAAAAAGGTATGCATAAAAGTAAAAGTACAAACCATGCACAAAAGTACCCGCTTAAAAGTGCATTCGCAAAAACGTTCATTAAAACTGTTGGAAATGAATAAGCTAGATTCATTAATCAAGTTCAAAGTATTGGAGGTTCTAGAATTCATGAATGTGGAAGAATACATGAATGTGTCTTTTGGAGAGATTCATGTATAATGCTATGGAGGAAGAATATTATTAATTATGTGTTCATGTATTTGTTTAGATACATGCTAGGAAAATCATATAAATAGTCTATGTAGTTTTTCATTTGAAGCAAGTCAAAAACAAGAAGAAGTATTTTAGAGAGAATCAAAAGAGAGTTCTTGAGTGAGTTTATATATTTGTGTTGATTGAGTGAGTAATAGAATTTTATCTCCTCTCCACTACTCCTCCTCTCTATTTTAAGTTATTCCGCTGCGTGTTTTCGATCTATATTATTAAAACGATCCAACAAAGTGGTATCAGAGCCACGTCTTAATAGAAAAGAGCGATGGCAACCACAAATGGAGCTTTCCCATTTCAAAAGCTTGCAAAAGAGAACTATGATCGATGGAGCATATAAATGAAAACTTTCCTTGGTGGACAAGACGTTTGGGAAGCCGTTGAAGAAGAGTATGTTGAACCGGAGAATTTGGCTTCGTTAAGCCAAGCCCAAAGGAAGACATTCAAAGAAGCCAAGGTGAAAGATCAAAGAGCGTTGTCCATCATTCAACTCGGTGTAGATGATAGTAACTTTGAGAAAATTTCTCAAGCTACTACGGCGAAGCAAGCGTGGGATATTCTTAGCGATGCTTTCAAAGGTATTGATAAGGTGAAGAAGGTACGACTCCAATCACTTCGTGGAGAGTTCGAGTCTTTGAAGATGAAAGACTCCGAAGATGTTTCCGACTACGTCTCAAGGGTGGTTTTGATCGTCAACCAACTTGAAAGAAATGGTGAAACAATGGAAGAGAGAAGAGTGGTCGAAAAAATACTTCGATCCCTTGATCCTAAGTTCGACTACATTGTCGTGGCAATTGAAGAGTCAAACGACGTTGAGATTCTTAAAGTGAATGAGGTATTGGGCAAGTTACAAGTCCATGAGGAGAAGATAAAGAGGCGAAACAAAGGGCCCGAAGTTGAACAAGCCCTTCAAGCAAAGACGAACCTTGCCGACCAACCGAAATATGATGGTGCTCGATTTCGAGGCAGAGGTAGAGGCCGTTGTCGTGGACGCGGTCGTGGTCGTGGCAGAGGTCGTGAAGGACAATTCTCGTACAACAATAATGATACGAAGCAAGAGAATCGACCAACAAGAGGTCGTGAACGAGGAGGATTCAATCGGCGTCAAGACAAGAAAGATGTCGAATGTTACAATTGTCACAAATACGGACACTATGCTTGGGAGTGTCGAAATGAGTCAAATGATGAAAAGACTCATTATGTTGAAGCAACGGAAAAAGAAGTTGCAGAGATATCCCTCTTGGCGTATGAGGTATCGACAGACGCAAAAGATAACTTGTGTTATCTTGATTCTGGTACAAGCAACCACATTTATGAAAGTAATGAAGTTGAGGACTCACTAGTAGCTGAATTAATGGAGCAGTTAAAACAGAAGTCTCTTGAACTTGAGGTTAAAGATGCAAATAATCGGAAGATTAAGGAGCAACTCAAGCGAAAGACCTCCGAATGTGCGGAGTTGCAAGAAACCAATATCAAATTGCAAAAAATGATCTCTCGTATTGTCGAACAGAGAACCTTCATTCCACCAACTAGAAATGTGAATGAGTCAAATAATATGTTGCTTCTACAAGCTCAAGCAAGAGAGATTGAAGAACTAAGAAAACAATTAGTTGAAGCAACCGAGTCAAAGAAGGAGCTAGAGCTACGCAATAAGAAACTTGAAATCGAAAGTTCGTATGCTAATAAATTAGCATCAACTGCAGTAGTTGAATTCAAGATTTTGTCTGAACAAGTTGAGAAGCTAGTGAATCATAACGAGAAGTTGATGAAGCACAATGAAAAGCTAATGAATCACAATGAGATATTAGCTATCGAGATGCAAGTTGCTTTGGCAGAAAAAGATCAAGTAGAAGCTGAATATGTGGCAGCGACATCGAGTGTATGTCATGCAATATGGCTAAGGAACTTACTAAAGGAGCTCAATTTTGTTCAAGAAGATACGACACAAGTTTTTGTCGATAACAAATCAGCGATTGCACTAGCGAAAAATCCAGTGTTTCATGATCGAAGCAAACACATTGATACTCGATATCATTTCATCCGAGAGTGCATTGCAAAGAAAGAAGTTCAAGTGAAGTTCGTGAAGTCCGAAGATCAAATTGCCGATATCTTCACGAAACCCCTCAAGAGAGAATTGTTCGAGAAGTTGAGGAGACAACTTGGAATGCGTGAATCAAGCCTAGGGGGGCGTGTTGGAAATGAATAAGCTAGATTCATTAATCAAGTTCAAAGTATTGGAGGTTCTAGAATTCATGAATGTGGAAGAATACATGAATGTGTCTTTTGGAGAGATTCATGTATAATGCTATGGAGGAAGAATATTATTAATTATGTGTTCATGTATTTGTTTAGATACATGCTAGGAAAATCATATAAATAGTCTATGTAGTTTTTCATTTGAAGCAAGTCAAAAACAAGAAGAAGTATTTTAGAGAGAATCAAAAGAGAGTTCTTGAGTGAGTTTATGTATTTGTGTTGATTGAGTGAGTAATAGAATTTTATCTCCTCTCCACTACTCCTCCTCTATATTTTAAGTTATTCCGCTGCGTGTTTTCGATCTATATTATTAAAACGATCCAACAAAAACACGAACTACAATACTATGGAACGTATACGCACCAACAAAAATGCACAAAAGGATGTGCAGAAAAATACACGTACAAAACCATGCATACAAGTACTCGCACAAAATTGCATGCGCAAAAATGCATGAAGAGACGAACTACAATGCTAGGACATGAAAATGTATCAATAAACGTGCACAAAAACTCTCGCACAAAAATACACATAACTACTCGCGCAAAGATGCATTTGCAAAAATGCTTGTGAAAAAACAAACTACAATACTAGCACATGAATAAGCATCAACAAACATGAACGCTAAAAATGACATGCACAAAAGTATAAGTACAAAAGAATACACAAAAGTATTCGCGCAAAAGTGCATTTGCAAAAGCACTCACGAAAACACGAACTACAATACTAAGACATGAATGTGCATCAGCACACATGCACAAAAATACTCGCACTAAAAGGCATTCACAAAAGTACAAGTACAAAGCCATGCACAATAGTACTCGCACGAAAGTGCATTCGCAAAAACACCCATAAAAACACGAACTACAATACTGGACATGTACATGCTTCAACATACATGCACAAAAACACTCGCTGAAATAGACATGCACAAAAATACAAGTACAAAAGCATGCACAAAAGTACTCGTGCAAAAGTGCATTTGGAAAAATGCTGATGAAAACAACAAATACAATCCTGGGACATGAATACGTATAAAAAGAACATGCATAAAAACACTCGCACGAAAAGGCTTGAACAAAAGTACATGTACAAATCCATGCACAAAAATTGAGGATCGGTGCCCCTGAACCCCGAAAAATTTAACCTACCGCTACATGTACTATTTTTAAACCCCCAAAACCCCCCCCCCCCCCCCCCCCCAATATGGCACGGATCCGCCCCTCATTTACCGTCTTTTGTTGCGACCTCCACAATTATATTTATGTCTGTTATAATTCTATAGATGATGATTTTTCACCTGAGCTTTTACTTGCAAACTTACCTCTCGCGGCTCCAAAGATAGATCTCGAGGTGCCCGCGAATTCTCCGCAATCTCAATAGATCAACCCGAAGTTAGGGTTCCAATGATACACCAACAGTATGTATGTATGTATGAAAACGGATAAAATCAAATGGGGAAAGATGATCCTTTTCTTCATTAGCTCGTCTATATATAGGTTTCCGAACGCAAATTACCACATCATTATGACCAACTATAATTCATTAAGAACTAAAAGACTCAACTAACTCTAACCAACGCTAGTTCTCATAGTGTAAAACGGCGTTGTGCTCTTATTAATCAAAAAAAAAAAAAAAAGGGCGTTCTGGCAACTTATTCAGAAAACCCCACATCTTCTAAATGTCGGCGACTCGGCGTTACACCTTGAATAAACGCGTGCTTTAATTATTGAAATAGTAGTGCAATTGTTACTTCATTTATCATCTTATGCCATCATTGTCGAAGTGCCAATTATCAACATCAATAAAATATCAGAACTAAATGTACACGCTTACGAGTGTAGGGTGTCGACCTTTTGGGTCAAAACAGCGAGCGGTACCACCGATGGTGAGACGTTACAGGGAAAAAAAAATTTGTCAAACTAAACAATTGCTACTTTAACCAATCTCTGGAACTTATATTTTAAATAAAATAAAATAAAAAATCTATTTGGTTACATCATCATGCAAATCAACGATAACGTTGACTGAATCGAACCTTAAGAGAAACTTGAATATTTTTTCAAATTTCAGTGTCTAGATGTATAACTTACCATTGTTTATTCACACGATCTTGAAATATTTTAAGGAGTATCGGTTTGCTGCTGGTATCATGAATCGGCTGTAGCATGCACAACTGCTAGAAACTGAGTTACCTGAGTTACAATTCTATGCAGAAAATATACAGTAACGCAAATGCTTCATTAGGGAGAAAAAAAAAAACTCGAATACAAAACCGTCAAGAGACTTCTTAGCGTCAAGCCTTCCCATGCCTCAACTAAGCAACACTCGGTAAAAACTTTGGATACAGATAAAATTACAGATAAAAAAAAAATATATGTACCAAGGATGTTACATAATTCCGTGAACAATAATATTTCGACAATTCAGACATACTCTCTCAAACGATGTCAAACATTATTACCGAAGAAAATTACTACAAGTATCAACACTTCATGTAGCAGTGCTCCATGGATGTTAGCATTTGTCGAGCCAGCCAGCCACACTTTTTCATTCAGCCAAAAGAAAGGCTGACACATTCTCCGGGTGTCGGAAGAATCCAAATTGGGTTTTGCCTCCACCGGTTATACTTTTATATTTAGCTATGAAAATTTAATTCCGAAAAAACTCTCAAGAATTATACAATTATGAGCTTATATTTCTCCCCCACCGCACCACCTTTGTCCTTTTGGAACTGTATATAACGCAGTGTGCTTGCAAGGAAAGCATCTGCCGCTGGATCTGATGATGAACCGTCACCTTGCATCTCGCTTCGGATCAATTCAATCAGGCCTTGGATCGATTCGACGGTTATCTGTGCAACTCCTTTCTCGTAGAAGTAGAGATACCTACAATAATAAATTAGCAACAAAAAAAAAATGGAATGAGTATTTCTCAGAAAATATAATGGAAATTGCATATAGAAGGTGAAATAGTATGAGTCGCTTCATCACTTGTTCAGTATCTCTATAAAAAGTACGACTGATCCACTGTTGCCTTTAGTTGCATTCGACATTTGCTGAACAGCATTTCCAATTCTTATGGCACGCTTTAAGCAAAGCAAGACCCTGAATAAACATTCAGCAATCACATACGATTGGAACAAAAACATACAGCCAATCAGATATTCAATCAACGCATTTTTCGTCGCTTTTGCATTAAATAAATGTTAGTAGATCGTACCTCTCTCCATCTCTGATACTATCGTGTTCATCAAGCCAGAACATATGTGAACATGCATAAACAGCTCTACATTGGTCTGGCTTCTTCAACAACTTTGCAGAATACTGGAGACAAAATTAAAGATAAATGAACAGACTATAAGTTTCATTTCTATATACCAACAAAAAGATCTGCGACATATAAATATTAATATACTAACTCAATACGGTATTATCCGTTATTCATCGTCCGGGGTTCACATACAATAATATTATGACTAGATAGGGCTTACAATAATTTACCCCAGTGGCCTTGTGTGTTAACGCATCTCGATTCTCAACCCCAAAGACATGCATCCGCTGGAGTGTTCCTATTATTAGGTGTATGGAAGTCACCTGAGCTTTTGAATCCTACGAAAATAATACATCCACCGGTGAAATTATAACATATGTGGGCTCTTTAACTGCATCCAATCAACAAATTTATTTGCTACTACACAGAAGCACGTGATAATAGAAAATTGCTAATTTTACCGTAATTTCTTCTTCGTATAAAATATAAGCTTGGGTGAAAAATTCATATGCCACAGGTTCTAGGTCAGAGTCATTTGCAGCCTGATAATGAACAGATTAGTAACCACAGGTCAGATAAAACACAGATAATCCAAGGTTTGAGGTGAAGAAAGAAATACCTCAGCGCACTGCAGATACAATGCTAAAGCCAGTTCAGGTGCTGGAATACTTGTCAAAGCCTCGATTGTCTACAATAAATAAACCGGTCATTTTATTGCCAACTAAAATCACAAGGTCTAAATTGAAAACTAATGAAGAAGATAGATATTTGCAAGCAGCCAATAATCAACGTAGGATCATTCTAAGGTAAAATCATTAACACCTGTGCCACTATCTGAAAGATCTTCTTTGGTGTAGTTGATGCTTCATCGCCCGATGCACTTTCATCCTGGCCTTCTAGTCGCCGTACTAGCTGCACATGAGACAGAACATCAGAAGTGCAAATAGATTTTGAAGCATTGTGCTAATCATATAGATATTAGCTTTGGGGAATTGATAAGGAGTTTGAATCACATACTGTGGAACTTTTACATAAAAACATGCGTCTACTTATTATAGACCCATGGAAACAGGACCTAGTTCTACAGTCGCCACTTTCACCCTTACTCATGCTAATCACAAGCCACACAAACATATCTCCAACTAAAAATGCAACGGAAAACTTAATGATTCTATGTTACAGCTCATCATTACGCGGACTGAATGGCAGAAACTGTGAGTCAATGGTATAGGATTTTGTAAATTGAAATTTTCTTTAACTTGCTTTTAGTTTTGCAGGGCCGAAAGAGATGCCCGACTCATCTTATTGTGCTCTTATCAAATAGATTCATGAGAAAATATATCTCAGAGCTAGAGCTTCACAAGCGACTTCAAACTCACTAGCTTGCACAATTGTCCATTACTTTGAATTCAGAAACTCTTCAAATGAGATAACAACTTCTATAAGTTGAATTATAGAACATGCCCACAACTGCCACTCTATCTCCACCCTCCTTTAGAATCAAAAGCCACCCTTTGATTCAGCCTGAAATGTATCTCCTTTTCTCCATTATAAATTGAAAATGAGCAACAGGGCCATACTGATATCTTAAAGGATTCATAAATTCTGCTGATGAGAATTCATGAAGGATGCTGCTCACTTTAACAAGCCATACAGCCATAGTGTGTTTTTTCTTTTCTTTTTAAACAGGCCATATGTTCTCTTTCATTAGGAAATAAGAGCCGTCAAATGTTTCTAGTCTTATTATTCGGAAATAATAATGGTGGGAGGTTGTGATTGTAGTTTATGTTGAGCTTGCTGACCTTGCTGCCAGGAATAGTTTAGACACATATTATGCATTTTCATCGAATCCGTACTGATATCTGAAAGCATTTCTGTAAACTCATATTTAAAAAAACCATTTTGTTCATTGATTTTTTAACTTGCAACTAAACTCTACCTTAATGTTCATGTAGTAAATAAAGCTTATCCGTGTTTTAGAGAAAAAAGGTTTACAGGTATATCTCAAATAGTAGCATTAACCACATGTTTGAAAAATGGCACTCTATGGGCAACTAGGACTGCATGCCTCATTTCGCACAATTAAGTTGTCTTTGCCACAAAATGAAATACAAGTACCAAAATGAGTGTTCATGCTCTTTTACATTGAAAACAAAATTAATCATAGCGTGAACAACTGCAGTCATGACTGTACAGTTGATAGGATTTGTTCTGAGAAGGATCAAGCATAAAATTTGAACTAAATAGGATATAGCTGAGAAATAATATACCTTTAGAGAATCAAATATAAGTGGAGGGACCGTGTATGGAAGCCTCTTTGCTCCTCCGGTCAAAATATGCTTCCTCACAGTATTGATTATCTGAAACTCAACAAACATATGACTTGTGAAAATAAAGCAGCAAACTAACGAAAACAAAAATGATTAACATAAAATGTATACACAAAATCAATTGCAAAATCCAGCGTCAAAATATTTCCACGGTGAGACATGCAGAAATGATACAACTGATCTGACAAGAATCATTGCAAAAATAACAGTAACTATAAAGAATGCCAATAATAAAATGAAATCACAAGACCGTCGAATATCTTAGACATGTATATATATTAATAGAATGTGTCTCGCTATTTGTATTTACATCAAATCAATTTGATTGGAAATGAGGTGTGATGCTTTTATATTAATTCAATATAAATTGAAAATATTAGTTGCTGAACCCCATTCTCATTTTATATCTCGCCTTGTGACAATGTTAAAATTACATGGAATGTGATATCGTCAACTATGTGATGCTTTAAGCTTAAAAAGTGATCAGGGGCTAAAATGCTTTATGTCAACTAGTGGCAAAGGATCCTTGCCAGTCTAAAAGGCTCTTGTCATGCCCAGTCAAATACTGTAGAACTTACAGACTCAGGGAGCTCTACTCAAGCAATACTAAATAATAGAAATAATTAATAGTACCCTTCTCAGAGAAAGAGAGAGGAACTGGAGTGTCCTTTTCATGAGTTGCAACATTTGAGAGAAACTTGAATAGAGGGAGAGGAGAAGAAAATAATCTGGGACATTTTTTTCACGTATAGAAGGGTAAGAAGGAGAGGAAGGGCAAGAGTAGCAGCTGCTAATATTGCTCCATCTGATTATACATCTCTAAGGAAATATATCCAGCAAATTTAAGGTTGAGGCGAGAATTCACCAAGAGTACTACTTTCGATGTTTAACCTACAAATCAATTCAAGTCAGATGATACCAACTTGTGACTGACTATACATGTACTATAAAGATATTGGCAACTTCTAAGGTGTATAAAAAGAGATACCTGACTGGCTGTAGACGTATGGAGATATTGGCAACAAGGTGTATAAAAACAGATACCAACTTATGTGTATATATTGGAGTTGCAATAATAGTAAAAAGCATGAGAAAAAAATTGCATTCGAGTTTTCCAAATTGAAAAAGTCAAGAAGAAAGCCAATCAATATAAATAACAGAAGTGAAAGGGTTGCAGATACAAACTTATCAAATTGAAGCACCAATCAATAAATAATGGGATTACCTTCAACATCTCTTCTGGATCATCACTGTGCAGCATTTGTATAAGACGTGCAACAGAATTCTGCTCCTCTTGAAAGTCCTCATCAAGCTGATTATACAAAGGAAATAAAGTACCTCAGAGAAAATAATGATAAAAACCATCAAAGGGTAGCTTATGTTTCAACCTAAATTAGAAGAGAAGACACCAAATAAAATAAAGAAACATGCCAATTTAAGCCACACATAAATTGATAAAAAAAACATCTAGACACTACCTCATCATTATGAACTTCATCTAAATCCCTAATGAGCCCCTTTATCAATTCAAACAATGCATCCACCTATAAGAAAAGTAAACCAGGGTCAAAGAGGCGACCAAAAATTCATAATGGAAGGAAACTACGAAAATTATACCTTCTCAGCAGTTGAAATGCGAGTCTTGTTTTTCATTATATTTTGTATAATAACATTGGCCATCTCTTTATTTGTTCCATCATTTAGAAACTCCATAACACGGGGATAATTAGACAGCTTTAATGCAGTGTCTATATCTTTATATTTGTCGAGTGGAGCACTTAGAAGTGCAACTATCTGTTTTGTTGCTTTGTTATCATCAAGTTTTTCTCTTTCTGAAAGTTTTAATACACATGCGCCCTGCAAGAATGGTGAATGGGATTTGGTTAGTATAGATACATTGGAAAAAATAACACAAAAACTTCGAGCACGAGTTTCATATTACTCACATATGTAATTCTTAAAAGAATTCTACAACACTAAGGGCCTCATGGAAAAGTAAGATTAACGTTAAGCTTTTCGATAGAATCAAAGTCATCACAGAATTTTATAGTACAGCGAAGGACAAGTGAAAAAGCAATATTACCTTCTGAAGAGGCGAGCTCTTCAATAGAACTCAATAAATTATAATTCCTATATACATCAGCTTACCACCAATATTTACAGACTTTGTGGGTCGTGAATAACAAGAACGTGAGAAAGTGATACGAGTTAACAGTTCTTAATAATACTTGGCATTTCCCATCTCATATAAAACCCTTTTTGCTCCGCTTCGCCTTATCCCCCTCTTGAGGAAATTTACCGATAGCTTCTCTAGGAACTGAATGATACTTGGTCAAATACCTAGGAACTCAACTGCTAAATATAAAGAATGCGCCAACTAATAATATAATGCCGGATATAGACTAATATCAACTGTTGGCTTCGTTTCTTTGTTCCCTTTCTTGCAGGGTGGAAGAGGGGCAGCAGGAAGGTTTTGTTATGTGTTTTTAGAAGAAGAAGCACATGGTTTTAAATCAACTTCATGATATTGTACAAGGCATTACCGTTTACACGAAGCGTACTAGATACCTATTCATTCAATCAGGATGGTAATCTAAGAATGTTTTGCCAGAATAGTCAAGCCAACCAGGGGTACAGCAGTAAACCTACGTGCTATAAAAGAACTTACCAGGATTTGATCAACATAATCAAGCCGGTCAGGATGTACTTGTAGAGTAAATGTCAAAAGAGATGCATATAAAGTTACTACTCCAGCAATAGGCAGACTGTCTTGTGCTTCTATCACCTGCATAAAGAGTTGACATCACTTAAATGGAAGCGCAAAATCCAAAAAGGGAGAGAAAAAGCCTAATGTGGTCCAAGTCAATTCACAGCAACACTTTTCTAAATTGTGTTATTATTCGTAGCGATGACATCTAAAAGAGACAAACTGCATAACCAGAAAAGGAATGCAAGATATACGTATGTAGACAAGAAACAATCATAACAACCTTCAAATGATCAAAATTGCACAAAGCAGAACTAAAGAGATATTCAAGTCAGTTAATATCTCTAATGCTTCATGAACACGTGTAATTAATTCAAAGCGAGCAAGACTTACAAGATGCAAAGATCGAATCAAGCCCAAAGAAATTTGGTGTCTTAATAGGCATTAACCATGCTTTCTAGTAGATGGTTAGTCTCGAAGTCTTGTACCGTGATAGAGATGGAACTCATATATTAGCCAGAGCATGTAGAATCTACGATAACTCTTGGAAACTTTATGTGGCAATTTAAAATAGCATTGAACTCTTTCTTCACAATAAGTTTAAGAGATCAAGAAAACATATGCTCCAACAAAAGAACCATATTCATCATAACCATTGACCACCATATCAATATTTACAGGACATGTTAGATATTGAATTTAAATTCTTTTAATCAAAGTTAATAATGTTTCTTATCAGTTCAAGTTGTTTTGGCGGAGACAATAAACAGACAATAATCATTAGATTCAAACAATTCAAATCACCATTGAATTGGACATATCATTGAAAGTGAGATGGAAACAGAAAATTTACCTTGCCTATGGCATTGTTCAGTTTTGCAAAAGCTTCCACTTGAAAAAATTCAGTTAAGACCTGAAGCATGAAGTCGTGAGGCACAATCCTTTACACCTAATTTCATTAACTCATATTTACTTACTTCTCCACCAGTAGCAGCGTAATTTGAAAGCCTTTCCATTAGACGAGAAAGCACTGTTTTCACATCAACAGAAGACTGGAAAAGCGTGCAGGAGAAAAAATAGAATTTAGCATGATGAGTGATACAACAGTAATAACAATATGCATTGAGAGCTAGGATACACTTTTTAGGCGTTGTATATAATAGAGCTGAAAAAGTACCTACCTGAAGTTGAGGGCACGCATTTAATAAGGTTTCAAGAGTCTGCAAGTGGTATTCATCAGGGAAGACTTGAATTATGCAATCCATCAAGTAATACTGTGCAAGCTCATCCTTGCAGTTAATAATCTGGAGCCACATCACAGTTTCATAAAATCAAAATACAAGTAAACAAACGTTAACAAATAATCCAACCTAAGAAAACAATTACTTGCTCCAACAGTCTGGGAAGCACAATTTCTTTGTACATTTCAAGGTCAACCCCCTCAATCTGGCTGAGAACGTGAAGGTTTTTACCAACCTAACCAAAATGAGTGGAACAAAACAAGAGTGTGTGAGTACATTCAACCACTGTGAAGAATTCTAAATTTACGAAGATTGAGGATTTTTACAAGCTCACGTAGCTCACTCCTTTCCTTTTCTCTTTTATCCTTTTCCCGTGTAGGTCCCTGCAAATTAAAAGGCCCAATAGCAAGGGAGAACGTGAGCAGAAAAAAACCTTTCGAGAAGGAAAAAAACAGTATAGATATGAACTTGCTCCCATGATCTACTTTTATCTTCATGACAGGAAACTTAAATCCATTACGAGAACAGCTACAAGATTTTGCCAAATCCTATCTCACCTGATGTTGCATTCTGACCCAAAGTTTGTTCATTTCAGTGAAATTTTGGAGCACAAACTCAACAGCATCCATGACAGTATCAGCATCCCTATCAGAGTCAAGGAACAATTTTAGCAAACAAGGTCCGTTAGGAGTTCCAAAAAAGATGATTGCATAAACATAACATGCACAAACAGCAGAATTACAAACAAAAATAGGACCCACCATGAGGGAGAGATAGAAAATAAACAGTTCAGTGTATGCACACGTAATAACATAAGCAAACAGGTCCTTAAATTACATGATTCATAGTATGTGAAAATGAAAAAAAAAAATCATGATGAATATTATAATTTGGAAATACTATATATAATTATATATACAAGCATATGTCCAATTTAAACCTAGAATTAAGACTTAATCCCTAGAACCAATCTATTAAATTTAAACTCCCGTAATTATGCTATCTAAAGAGTAAAGAATCAGTACTACAATTAAGAATCAGACCTATACTCGAGTATATATTACCTACACAATTTCTGACACTGACAATAAACAAAAGGAGTACTAACTGCTAAGCCATCCCCAACTGGTTTCATACTCCTTCACAAATAAAATCGGACAGGCAGATACCTAAACCTCCACGACCAAGTTATACTGCTATATGTAACATAACTATCTAAAGGAACACCATGCTAAAACGTACAATTTCAAGAACAAGACAATAATATATGAAGTACCAGAAAATGCTGCCATTTGTTTCTATGACGTTTACGGAACTTAGTTTACTATTGCTCAAATATGAGGCAGATCGGGCATGGGATAGATGTTAATATGCAGCAAAGTGTAAAACGTAAATGCAAGCTCATGACAAATATATCATGTAAATGGATTTTCAAATAGGAATAAGTGTTACTTTATAGGTCGTCACAAATTTTTATGAACCTTAATACAGGAAATCCTTGGAAGATACATTCAAAGAGAAGTATATAAAACATCACATTCTTACCCTTCATATTCAGAACCAATGTCAGGCAGTTTATCTCTACTGACTTGAGACAGATAACTCCTTAGAAAGAGCCCACGCAGAGGATGCTCGATTCCACGACACATTTCTACAAGATCTTTAAGAACATCCTTTGCAGGAGCTTCTTTGGATTTTATGTAAACAGAACCCACGGTACAGAGCAAATATCTACCATAAAAGGACATATAAATATGTGTTATAACCAACTTCATTGTGTAGACATAATTTTAATTAAGGAAATTGAGACCACAGTTGGAATCAAGGAAATGAATTTTTAACTATCAAGGGTAAGCTAAGCAGATCCAACTTTCAGAAACCATGGGATATGGAGTCTTGTGCATAAAATATGCGATATTTTGAACAAGTTGTTAAAAACAATTAAGTGGTTGGTATTCATGAGTATAGTTCGTAACGGATGTGCATATATAAGATAAGATCTTTTAATCTTAGAAAGTGGAATTGCCTTTTCATGAGGAACTTAAGAAATAGTAAAACACGCAAACGAAGCATTATCACTTTCATGATACTCGTACTAACAATCTAGTTTTGTTGCTTATGTAAATATATACCTTCTGACTTTCAATTATACAAGCACTAGTGATAAATTTAGATGCAACTCTCCACAGCAAACAAGAAAAAGAAACACTTCGCATACGAAATTCAATAAAGAGAAAAGCGAACGGTCCTTACAGTCTGGGCAAGATGTTGCCGGCGTGCTGCACAAGCTCGTAAAGCTCAACGATCGAGCAGCCACGGCTTGTCTCTTCCTTGAAAAAGATTTCCAACTTCCTCAATTCATCAAAAGCCCTCATATCTACACATCAATCTCAAAAAAAAATGATCCAGAAAAAATATAAACTAAAATTAAATTGAAATAGGAAACAGACAGGCTGTAGTTACACACATAGTTCGTAGTATTTGTGAGGGGAAAGCCTCGAAGTACGCAGCTCCGAAAGCATCTGAGCGGAGTATTTGAGAGCATCCTTCAAATTGTTGGAATCCTAAACCAGAAAAAAAAAAGGCCCAATTGCAATTCAAAAAACTAGGGTTTAACCGGAATCAGAGAAATTAGAAACGGGAGAAATGCAAGTACGAGAGCGCGATGCATGTAGAAAGCATTCTGTTGAAGGCCGGCGATCCCAGCGGAGAGCCATTTTTCTTCGTCTTCAACTCCGTCAGCGATCATCCTCTCTCTCTCTCTGTCTTTTTCTTTCTCTAGAGCACTTCAACCAATTTAGCAGGCTACTGAGAGAATGAAATTGAAAAAAAAAAAACAAAAAAAAAAAACAAGAAATTTATATTTAGGGTAAATAGCACTTAGCCCCTTGTGGTTTGGACATTTTGCGCATGACCCCCTTATAGTACGAAATTAGGCACATAACCCCCATGTGGTTTTAACATTTTGCACATGATCCCCTTATGTATAAAATTAGGCACATGACCCCCTTATAGTATGAAATTTCAAGTTTGGCACATAACCCCCATGTGGTTTTATCATTTTGCACATGACCCCATTATGGTATGAAATTAGGCACATGACCCCCTTAAAGTATGAAATTAGGCACATAACCCCCATATGGTTTTAACATTTTGCACATGACCCCCGTATGGTATGAAATTAGGCACATAACCCCCTTGTAGTTTGGACATTTTGCACATGTTTTATGGTATGAAATTAGAATATAACCCCATTCAATAGAAAACTAGAAACGACTAAATTACCCCTATCAAGTGAAAAATTCTTGTTTTAATTTAAAAATAATTATTTTATAAAACGAAAAGCTTAATGTATATTTTTTGTAAAATGAGAAATATAATAAATTATTGTGTTTTTTTTAATTTTACAGCACAAAAAGTATATAATACTAGTAATTGTACGATTGAAAATTTATTCAGTTTTAGAAATCAATTTGAAAAACTTTAATATTATCATTAATTATGATTATTATATTACTATTATCTATATAATATATTATATTATAGTTGTTACCTACTTTAATTTTTTTAAGAAACAAAGTCTGTATTTTTTTATTCTGATGGAAAATCTAAAAAACATTCTCTAAGTG